CCGTGGGAAAATAAGTGGTACCAAGACAAAGAAGTTATAAAATAAGGTCTCTGTTAAGACTGCGGTCAAGTCAGCAGACACTCAGATCTCCGTGGTCAACTCAGCAGACACTTAAATTGTAGTGCACCTATACGCTGAAACTTACGGTAAACGCAACCAAACGGCACAGGACGTGAGCGAGATGAAGGATTTTGCAAAGTTAGCGGAAAGATTAACGTGAAAACTTCCGGTTTTCTACAGACGAACATCCGGTTTTCAAAATAAGATGCCAACAAAGAATACATATTGCATAATGAAATGAGATTAAATGAATTATATTCCAATAAGTATAAAAAATGATACCATCATCTCGTGAGTTAAAGGGAAAATACACCTAAATTGTGCGTAAAGTGTATTTATTCTTTGATTTGAGGGTTGCTGGAAATTAATAATACCTGACTGACAGTCAATTTTTACGAAGCAAAAACTCTGAACTGAATTTATATCTTCAAATGGCAAATTTCTGAAGTTTTTAAGGTGCTATGAAAATGTTTTTCTCAATAATTCCCCACAATGACTAATGAATTCATGTTGAGGACAAAAAAAGGCTAATATCACAATATTTGAGCTGCTACAAAAATATTTTTCTCAATAATTCCATGCAATGACTGATGTATATGTAATCAAGGCATCGTTGACTCCACCCATAGAGAAAATACGACATTTTGACTGTACCAATTAAGAGATATTTCAAAGTAAAAGTCATACATTTGAATCGAGAAACTATCTAATAAATGAATATTTGAAGTGTAATAAAAACAGTTTTCTCAATAATTCCAGACAATGACTGATATGTATGTGTTGAGGACATCGTTGACTCCACCCATACTGAATATTAGACATTTTTACTGTACCAATTAGGAAATATTTCAAATTAAAACTCATACATTTGTATTGAGAAAATATCTAATAAATGAATATTTTAAGTGTAATAAAAACCTGGGCAAGAAGTATGTGTTCGACATCCGACGCACCTCCAAGGAGGTTTACAACCACGCCCGCCGCTCGCTCTACAACTCCGGTGTCGTGGACCTGGTGAATGGCAGCGACGGACGCTCATCTCCTTCACGCTCCCCGAGCCGGGACGACCAGCCGGACGACGGGATGTACTGCGGCAGCTGCCAGCAGGGCCGAGCCCTGCAGGAGCGGCTGCAGAAGCTCAGAGAGGCCCTGTTGTGCATGCTTTGCTGCGAGGAGGAGATAGATGCTGCGTTCTGCCCCTGCGGACACATGGTGTGTTGCCAGGCCTGTGCAAATCAGCTGCAGGTGAGTCTCTTCTTCACACCCAGCTAATTGACGCATGAGTCGGTAGGAACTCCAGAAGGCGAGAAGTAAAGTTCCGCTGCTTTCAGCATGATTGTGAAACCCATTTTCCAATTATAGCTATCCATTACACCTTTTTCATGATTGAGCTGGCCTTGCCTGTTACTGTCTATTTGTCACGATGTCGTTGGATCTTGAATAACAGACGGATGACCTGAGAGGTGCCTAATTAGTTGCCTTGATGGCAGTCAACATTACTCTTCACAGCTCATTTGATGAGAGAGCAAGTTGCTGTGCCACTGAGCAATTGCGGTTACACATTCTCTTAGCATGCACCGTTTTGCTGGCTTTGACACCTCCTTGGTTTTAAGCCACGTGTTTACTGGCAACGTATGCTTTGACCCACTTTATCACGCATTACAATACTGGTACAAATGTTAACTTGGTGTAATGTGGCCATGAAATTAATGTTTGAGGAGATATCCTAAGCATGCCAAAATATATTGCCATTGGGTTCACAACTTGACTGCATTAGTTGAACCACTTTGGCTCAAAGCCTAAATTAGCTCAATATTGGAGAATAAACTAATTCAAACTCTCAACACTTTTTCTTTCCTCTACCCTCAGATGTGTCCCGTGTGTCGGTCGGAGGTGGAGCACGTGCAGTACGTCTACCTGCCCACCTGCACCAGCCTGCTGAACCTGACGCTGACCGACAACCACCAACACCGCAGCAGCATCCCCGCGCCCATTCACAGAGTAATGGCCTCTCCTCACAGCTGCTCTACAACAGAGTACGACCACAAGATCTACCATGCATAGAGACAACTTCACCGGACACTCATCTTAGAAGGAACATTTATAGTCCGTCTGTGTTTCCTGCCTGGACTCCTTGAACTACCAAACATATAGAAACTCCTGAGCATATTCAAAGATCGACACACTCAAACCCCTCCCTCAATAAGTGTGTGTGTGTTTTAATGTTATTTACCATCGTCCCTTTGGACGTCAGTTTGTCTGAGTGATTGTTAGTATTGTTGCTATTGGTTTGCATGTCATTCTGTCCAGATCTTGTTTGTTTTATACAGCCCCTGCCACAAGATTTAGTTTTTAGTTTAGGCTCTCGTTGTCTTTAAATTATTGCATCAGTTGACCTGATAGAGAATAGACACATTTGTTTTTGAATTTGTGTGTCAGGCTCCTCGCCCCTGAACCTGAACCATATGATGACTCTTGTGTTTTAGAATAGCTAAACACTGTACATAATGGAGGTTTTTTTAGATATATTTTTAATGCTTCCTGACATTTTAAAGCTTATGTTTTTGATTTGAGAGCTGAGTTTTATTGTGTAAGAGTGAAATGCTTTTTTTCTTTATTAAGAAATATTATTTCATTTCTTGTTTGTCATGTTCCATGTTGTCCACGTCAATAAGGGGGTATTTAGAGGCTAAGCAGCGCTGCTCTGGGTATAGCATTGCATACTAATAAGATACACCAGGCACTAAGACCACCATGGTCCCATTCTTGTGGTCTCTCAGTTCAATGGGGCTCTTGAAGGTTTTTGTTTTTTTTGAGCCCACCAGAACTGTGAGCTTGAACATGAATGCAGCATCTTGCTGACACTCACACAGCCTCCTTCACCTTGGAACGGGTATTGTTGATTAACTGTCACTTGTCCAAAACAACAAGCCTGATTTCATAGACTGATGCACCTTTTATCTCAATGCCAACAAAGTAAAAAATGATGAGCACAAAATGCTCTTCTACTAGATGCAGTACCACAACGTTATAAACAAAGACAAATAGGAATGTGTCCAACAGCAGCTGCTTCCTCTGAAAACCTCCGCTGTAGATTTCTCCTCTGGGGTGTACTAGTGAGTTGATCATTTTTAAAGGGTACAAGGAGATTTGTCTGTGCAATACTTGCTTGCTTTTTGAAAAGCTTTTCATTTTCAAGTTTTATTTAATTTCAAAGACTATATTTAAGTAAAAAAACATTTTTTGTTGTGTTATCTGAAAGCAATTGTACTCAACACCCTATTACTTGGAAATAGGAACCAACTAGGCCAGTGGTTCCCAACCTGACTGCTGGGAAGTCATTTTTCTTACTTTCTTTAAATATTTGACTTTGTCTTGTAAAATTTCATTGAGACTCGAAGTCTTTCAACTACTACTGCACGAGGCTAGCTATCCCCCTCAAGACACTTGCACATTCATATCAGTTACAATATACTGGCAGATAGTAACACCTGGAAATTCCCTCAAATCAAACTTATCTTCAGCAAGGTTTCCAAGATAAACCATCAAATCTGGCCCGAGAGGTTTCAGATGACACATAGTGAGAAGAGAGAGCAAAAGTGGAGCGAACGCCTGCTGTGACTTGAGTCCTCACTTCTCTAGCAAAACCAGGTGAATCGTACCCTGAAAGGTCAACGTGTCATTTGTTATTGTCAGACTAGGAAAGGGAGCTGATGGTAAAGAGACTCTGTATGTTGATGAGAAAGGACAAGATCCACTGGACTTTAATAAGTCGGCAAATAAGTGTTTAGTGCAGCAGCTATTGATTAGTCGGACTCCACCCGTCTCTCTTTTCATGACACTCTGGATGAGAATGCTTCTCTCTTTCTCTCCCCATCTCTTTTTATTTGCTCTCGTACAGCACTGCCATTAAACACACTTCAGGGACACTGATGACAGCAGGGAGGGAGAGACTTATGGAGTAGAGTGCTGTGATTTGTAGTCAGCCATGCAGAACTCCTGTACTATTGCAGGTTGGAAAACAACACAAGTAGCATCACATAGAATATCACCTGGCTTAAAAAGTAAACTTGGACCTTAAAATACAAGGATGTGAAAGGAAAAACATGTAACGGTGACGAGCTATAAATTGAGAACGGTGACACTTGTTTGTCTGTTGCGATAGGAATCAACAGCTTTCTTGCTCATACTATCTGCATCCCTGACCCTGAGATTCACATGCATGCCCATTTAGCTACAAACAGGGCCGGACTCTGTACTGATGCTTTGCCCTCACCCAGTCACATGTAGCTGAAGCACAAACAGGGAAAGTATTGCTTATGGTATTATGATATACCATGGAAACACTGCAGATATGTTAAGCGCTTCGAAATGTGAAAACCTGACAACATTTTCTGTTGTCATACTAATCCGAAATGTATCTGTAATACCACACAAAACTGCATTAATCTCTTGTTGAGAAATGGCCAACAAAATATGGATTTATGCAGTGGGCGGTGACATGTAGAGCCAACGTCAGAGAGAAATAGATGGAGAAAGCTAAAAAAGAAAAAAAAAAGGCTTAGAGGATTCATTGAAGGCTGTGGATTTTGGATTTGCCTAATCTGTTGCATATTTATGTTTTATT